AATAAGTTTCCCTGTATCACTTTCTCTCTCTAGTTATGCACGTGTGTGTGTGTGTGTGTGTGTGTGTGTGTATAGAGTGTTTTTTTGTTTTAAATGTGGAAGAACATGGATTTTGGGGTATTTTAAAAAATAGATTTGGGATGCTGCTGCAGCAGTCCATCTGGCACAAGAGGTAGTGTCTCCAGGTATCAGTTGGCTGGGCCCCTGAAGCTCCAGAGAGCAAGTAGCCCCGAGCTGCTTGCCAGGGCAGCTTTTTGTATGGATGTTGCCAGGACAGGGCAGCTTTTTATATTGCTGGGGACAGCACAGGTGCTGGCCCCAGGCTCTAGCTCCCCCTGGCTACAGATCTGAGAGGAGTCAGGCAGGGTTATTTTGCCCCAAGTGGCACAATTTGCCCCATACCAAAGTGCATGTCCAAGCATGTGCACTGGAACAAAAAGCCCCTGCTCAAATTTGCACCGCTTTTATTTGAGCTGCTGCAAGCACACATGCTTGCGTGTGTGGACATGCCCCAGAAGGCTTAACCTTCTAATTATATAAATTAACATATTAGATTATGGCCATGTGTAGGAGTTACCGAGAAGAGTGAAGTGGCTTTAACAAGGGTGGATGTAGATGGTGCAATCACAGCAGCAATTGTAGTCTGGGTTGGTCTTTTACCAAAACAACACTTACATATTTATTTCTGTTTCATACTTTTGAAATAGATGCTATCCATTGATAGTTTCTTTAACCACATGTAATGAAAGTTCCAAACCTCAAGCTTATTCATGGACATTTATAGATGTGCTCCGGGAGGTGGTGGTGGGGAGGGGGGCTTTAATTAGCACAGCTCCATGAGCCGCACTGATTAAAAGTGCCGGGAGGGTCACATGTATCAGTGTCCCTGTGCTGAAAAAAATGGCGGTTGGGTGCTTTGAACTAATGCTCATTGAACGAGCTTTAGTTTAAAATGCCCCACTGCCATTTTTCAATGTAAAGACACTGAAACACGTGACACTGGACTCTGCTGGACCATGATAATTGCCACATTCCAACAAAATCAATTAATCAAGTCTGCTCCAGCATGCTACTGTATAATTACAACACGTTGGAGCAGTCTCCCTGCACATGTATAGGAGCCCAATAAGTCTCAAGCACACAGAGAAATAGTAAGTTTCACAGTAGCTATACAGCTGTTCTACCTGTAGAATTAGAACAATTATTCACATGTCTTGCTGCCCTCAATAACATGCCATTATCAACTGTTTTGGGACATCAAGTTAATTAAAAGATGGATACACTGGCTTAAAGTATATTTTCTTAGGGTGCATCTACACATGTTGCTATGGTGATGTTACTGCTCCCGGATTTAGTTCCTTTTTGAAGTACTGAATCACAGTGCAGTAACAGCCTTTACTGTGGTGTATGTTCAGTGCACAGTTACTTTGAGCAGATGCTTTGCCATAGCGGCACACTATACCGGGGGAGCATGTCACTATGGCGACAGTTGCTGGTCATGTGTAGATGCCCATGGACACTACATCACCATACCATGTTGGTACAGCGATGTAGTGTCACGTGAAGACATGACTTTAGGAGATCAGTAGGATGAATCCTCTTATGAAACCTCTACAGTTTCCAGAAGCTTTTTGCCATGGATTGCCAGGGAGGGCTCTGAGGGCATTTATTCATCCAAAAGCCACATTATGTGAACAACTGCTGTAGGCTGAAACTGTCCTCTCTGTTCCAAAGAGGGTTCTGAGTTAACACTTTTTAAGCATTTGCAGTAGAAGCACTGGGCATGAAACCAGTGCAAAGTACACAATAGAGATTCACTTTAGACTGTGCCGTTAGTGACAATGACTATACACAGTAGTTCCATTGAGATGAGTAGTGGCATCAAATGTAATGATGATGAAGTGAACTTGGGTTCATGAAAGTGTGTGCTCTCTCTTGCTACGTGTAATTCTATATAGTTATCCTGTAAAGATGCATATGTACCCTGTCTTGTGACTGACTTCAGATTAACATGGCTGACTACTTCCCCCCGCATTGAATGCAATGCCAAGGTTTAGAAAACAAAGATGTTTTATGACACTGACCTATGATTGTTTTAAATATTGAAACTAGGGCATTTTATAAAACTGGCAAGAAAACCCATGGCTTGGCAATAAATGAACCAGTAAAACAAGATAAGTCTGTTACTGAGATAATTTCATCATCTAAGTAGACAGGTAGGATAAAATCATGTTTAAAATCACGCAGAGACTTAATTAAAATACTTGACTTTGTTTGCATAAATTGACAAAATAAAAACAAATGTATGGGACAGACAAACTTTATTTTCTAAAATTAAGGGGCATTTAGGGTGTGTCCCCATGAGCGGGAATGTGTGTTTCCTAGGGGACAAGTAGCAGCGGCATCCCCTAAGATGTACCTGACTTTGATTATTCTCCCAAAATTCATGTGCTGCTTAACTATAGCAGCTCCTGACATGGTGCAGGCTGCTCTTTCCCTACTTCCACAGGCTTTATCCCTCTTGGATGATTCCTACGTCTTGCAGCGGTTCTAGGTTTTTCTTAAAATTTATGCTGGGAGATTTTTAATAATAATAATAAAGATACCTAAGAAGCCAAACTTCCTCACTGGGGTTTCTGAAGCCCCTCAAACTTCCTGCCAGTTTCAAAGGAGACAAGATTACCTTCAAACCCCGCCCCCTCTTTCTTTTTTAAAGAAAAGAAAAAGTAGGACCTTCACCCGATTATAAACGCACTCTGATGCTTGGCATGTTACCCTGGGTGGGGTAGGGGAGGCTGGGGCCAGCAACTGTGCTGGCCCCAGCAGCCTTACTTGGGGTTCTGGAGGCCTCCAGGAGCTGCAGTCATGCCGCTCCTGCAGCAGGGAGCCCCGCCAGCAGCTGGAGTGTGGCTCTGGCTGGCCAGACTCCAGTTCTGAGCAGCACATGGTGCTGCCACATATGCCACCCTGCTTTTTTTAGGCATAGGGATTTTTTTGACCCTGGGATGTCCTGGGGTCAACCTCCCCACCATGCTGCCAATGCAGGCATTCCCCATGCTGCTACTTTGCAACATGTCCAGTGTGTAGCGCTGCAGATGGGTTTGCAGTGCCACATACTGCACATCTGCGCTCGTCTGGATGCACCATTAAAGTACACTTAAAGAAGCCATTATAGGAGGTGAAGAAATATATACTACTTGTAGTTCCCTCACGTAAGAAAGTTCTTAAAGTTCTGCCTGGCTTTATCTTTGTTGAAGCCAACACCTAAGCTTTGGACTTCAGTAGAACTTAGCTGTTTGCTTGGAGTTGAGCATATAATTAAGGGTCATCTTGAATAAAGATGATTTCCTGATTTGGGTTATTGACAGGGAGGGGTATCATATTTACATGAATATTACATGCACCATTGCCCCCAAAATTAGCCTTCTAAAATTGGGGTGCATGTCTTAAGTAGAGAAGCTGATTTTCTACCCAGTATGGAAGTATGGAGGTGCGGCAAGAGGGTTGCTGCTGCTTTTCCTTGTCCAGAAGCTGCATGGAGGGAGGGGTGGAATCCAGCAGGGGAGGATCAGCATGCTTTGATTCCTGCTCCACCCAAATTTAAAACCAACTGCCTGGCAGCAGCCATGGTGTTTCTGTTCAGGCTCTGTCCCTGCTTTGTGTGTCCGTAACTCTGGGGGAAGGGGCTTTTTTCCCCCTTCATTCTGCCTTTCCAGAGACAAGGTGCATGTCTTGGGTGTGTTGTATACAAGAAAATACATTACACTTGGATGCAAACTCTACTGAATTTATCTGAGTTATGCAATATTGAATTTGACCCAATAAGAAATAGTTATAGTCTGGTTACGAATGAAAATCATTCACTCATCCTTGGCCTGTGTTTATTACAGAGGTAAAAATTACTTGTCTTGTTGATATACTCAAATAGAGTTTATGGAAATACACAAGTGTGAATGGAAAAAAAGAGGTATTAAAATTGTTTGTGCACTCTGAAATGATTTGGACACATCCATGTTACTAAAATTAAAGGTTTTCTGTTTGGCAACTGTGTGGTAAAAGGAGCCAAAATGAATGCAGATCTCTGGAACTCTTGGTTCAGAGATGATACCTTTTATTAGACCAACTAAGAAATTGCAAAAAACCCCCCTTTTTCTGCAAGGTTTCAGGCACATGTGCCCTTCCTTAAGCTCAGGGAAAATTAAAGGTGGTAAAAAGTTACCATAAGTAGAAAATAAACTTCATTTTTGCACAGAGGAAGCTGAAGGTGGAAGTCTGTTCCTCTGGGTACGTGAAAGTAAAAGGAGCCAGGAATTTCTGCTATACCATCTTAACGTAAAATACATTTACATTTAAACATGAGGTACTAGCATGCTCTGAGAAAAGGGGATCATGAAGCCCTAGAGAGCGTTTTTTGCCTCAGTAGAATGTTTTTGTCAAAGCAAATGTGTTCTGATTTGTTCTCACAACAGTTGCTGTTACAAAATGAATAAAACCACTGTACAGGGTTTGTATTAAGATCATTCTGAGTTTATAGAAAGATGAAAAAGGAGTTGGTTAAAATATTTATTGATAATTACAATCATTGGCTGATACGTTGTCAATGACATTTTTAATTCTGTCCAATATAGACTTGGGTTTAATTATTTGGTGGTTACAGACAGGTTTTACGTGATGTGTGCCAATGTTTTTAAAGCCTACTTTAAGCTATGGCTTTGAGTCCATGCGTATATGCAAGAGCTGAGATACTCAAAAGCTTCTAAGTGACACAGAAACATAAATTACATTGACTAAAATTGTGAATTCTGCTCCTAAGCTAGTTCAGCATTTATGAAAATTCCATCCAGCATTCACAGGCAATCATAGTATTTTAATGCAAATATTACTATTAGTCAGTGTATTCTTGGGAAATCTGGCACTGTATTTTCATTTTGTACCACTTAAGATTGTTCCTACAGCAATTAGTCACCTCTTTTGTCATTTATTTATTTATTAAACTGACATACAATTTGCTTTGTTCATTTTGCTCCAGTGCCTGTCTGCTGAGGACATCTTTTTTCTTCATGGGTTGCCGAATAACAGCCAGATAACAAATTCCAGTCTCCATATGATATGTCCTGCTGTCTTACAACAGCTGATTTTTCACCCTTGTGAAAGCCAGAAGTCCAAAACCAAATCAAAACCAACTCCATCAGAAGGTAGTTAACAGTTTTTAATTAATCTTGGAACAAAAATGGGGCATGCCTTGATACACGGTGTTTTTTCTTAATCTATAGATAACTTCCTTAATAATTTTTGCCTATAAGAATAATATGGTAAAATAAGAACATCGGAACTGCTATACTGATTCAGTTCATCAGCTTGTCTGCCCATATGTGCAGCCAGCATGCAGCCTTCTAAGCATGCTCAGAACAGAAGGGCAAAGCCAATGTGGTGATGCAAGTGCAAACAGCAACTTAGTGCAAGTGCCAAAAAGTGCACTTAAAAGGATATGTGAGTGCCACATGGATGTGTAAAGGTGAAATAAGACCTAGCCTTGTGTCTACTTAATCTCTGCTTTTACCTTTGCTCCCAATTTTTCCACATCTCATTGCTTCTGAAAGAATTTTTCACTTTTATCAAGTCTGATCTATGCCCAGCATACCCCAAAATATCCATTGATGTCAATAGGAATTTTGACTCTGCAAGGAATTCTTGCAGAGCCTTGATCAGGATGATAATACCATTATCAATAGCCCATAACAATATTAGTAATAGTATTTTAAAAGCAGCATAATTAGTAACATTAGGATTAGCACTATATAACAGTAATATTTATTCAGAGTTAAAGGTCCTTTTTAGTGCTTATTTAGTACAGTAAATAAATGCAATTAACATTGGCTAAATCAATTTAGAATTTCACTAAATTTGCAAGATCGCATATGTATGATTGAGTCATTAAAATAGAATAGAATTAAGTGATAGTAATTCATAGATTTAAAGAAATAATTATCATATTTCAAATACAAAAAATTACACTTTTTAAAGTTAAAAGTAAACCCGTTGCATTTTATCATCACCTAAGAACCGGCTTTTTGAGTCTGGGACACCTTTCTCTTATTTGTTTGTACAATGACCAGCTAAATGTGCTCATAATAAAAGACTGGAGCGCTCATAATAAAAGCTAATACATATAAAACTATACATTGTAAAAATTTCAGTACAAATGATATAAATAATATGATCAGTATATTGTTTTATAACCACATAAATAGTCATATTAATTATTATTCAATAATATGGTTATAAAACCATAAACCTGTTTTATAAATTAGTGTCCTTATTGAAATAATAGCAATACTCACAAATTAATGTTTTTTTTTCCTCATGACATGATCAAGGACAGCAATAAATTCTAGTTTTTTGTTAAGGTTAGATTGTTGTGGGTTTTTTTTAAATTTGTCAGTCAGAGTCCGAGGGGACTTTTTGTACTTCTCTTTGTATTGCTTCTTATCTGATTGCTAGACAATGTTTCTGAACTGTTTTATTTAATTATATAGATGCACAATTTAAAAAACACAATATTATAATAAATGGTATTATTATACATCACATATATAAATAATTTTCTTATACAAACATATTAATATAATTTTTGTATATTTATATATACTTACAGAAATAATGATACAATTATATATATATTCTTATATACATGGTAATGGGAGCTCAGGTGTACTGATGAAGACCAAATAAGTATGTAGATAGATAGAGGGGAAAGTATATTTATTTTTCTATATGGACTAAATAATCTGTAAATGTCAAGTTTGACCCACATTTGACCTGCTAAGCTATTCTGACCTTCCCTCCCATTTTATTATCCTGCCAGCTCAGCAGCAGTGTCTAATGGCAAGATAAGAGAGGCAGCATATTATCTGCTCTTCCTTTGCCTGTAATGCAGAAAATCTTAGAGGCCATGGTACTGCTTCTTTACATTCCACAACTTGGAGCAGAACAATTCAGTGCTATATTTTTTGCTGAGTCATTGCTTAGAATGGGGGAGCTGTAGCAGGAAAAAAACATCTAAAAGGTAGTCTGTAAAGTGTGTCTTTTCCAATACTTGTATCTAGTGTATCTGACAATATGCTAAAGGTTAATACACTTTTACCTCTGTGAAGAGCAATGGAGAGTCACAACATTGTAGCAGCTAGCTCCCAAGTCATTTTGTGTGTCCAAGAATCACAGAAAATTAGGGTTGGACGGGATCTCAGGAGGTCATCTAGTCCAACCCCCTGCTCAAAGCAGGACCATCCCCAACTAGATCATCCCACCCGAAGCTTTGTCAAACCTGATCTTAAAAACCAACAAGGATGGAGCTTCTACCACCTCTCTGGGTAACCTGTTCTAGTGTTTTACTACCCTCTGAGTGAGAACATTCTTCCTAATATCTAATTGAAGCTGCCCCTGCTGCAACTTGAGACAGTTGTTCCTTGTTCAGTCATCTGCCACCACTGAGAACAGTTTAGCTCCATCCTCTTTTGAATCCCCTTCAGGTAGATGAAGGCTGTTATTAAATCCTCTCTGTCTCCTCTTCTCTAGACTAAATAAGCCCAGTTCCCTCAGCCTGTCCTCATAAGTCATGTACCCCAGGCCCTGAACCATTTTTGTTGCCTGCTGCTGGACTCTCTCCAATTTGTCCACATCCTTTCTGTAGTGGGGGGCCTGACAGTACTCCAGATGTGGCTTCACCAGTGATAAATAGAGGGGAATAATTACTTCCCTTGACCTACTGGCATCACACCTACTGATCCAGCCCAGTATGCTGGTTGCCTTCTTGGCAACAAAGGCACACTGCTGGCTCCTATTCAGCTTATTGTCCACTGTAACCCCCAGGTCATTTTCTGCAGAGCTGCTGCTCAGCCAGTCAGCCCCCAGTCTCTACCGGTCCATGGGATTGTTCTGTCCTAAATCAGGACTTTGCACGTGTCCTTGTTGAAACTCTTGAGATTTCTTTTGGCCCAATCCTCCACTTTGTCTAGGTCACTCTGAATCCTAATGCTACCCTTCAGCATATCTACTACTACCCACAGCTTGGTGTCATCTGCAAACTTGCTGAGGATGCACTCCATCCTATCTTCCAGGTCACTGATGAAGATATTGAACAATACTGGCCTCAGGACTCACCCCTCTGGCACTCCACTTGATACTGGGTGCCAACTAGATGCTGGGCTATTGATTACTAGTCTCTGAGCCCAATGCTCCAGCCAGTTTTCTATCCACTTAACAATCCATTCATCCAGCTGGTACTTCCGTAGCTTGCCTGCGAGAATGTTGTGGGAGATGGTATCAAAAGCCTTGCTAAAATCAAGGTGTGCCACATCTACCAGTCTCCCTGCATACACAGAACCAGTCACCTCATCATAGAAAGCAGTCAGGTTGGTCAGGCATTACTTGTATCTGGTGAATCCATGCGAACTGTTCCTAATCATTGTGTTCTCCTCCAAGTGCTGAGAAATGGATTCTTTGAGGATCTTCTCTCTAATTTTTCTAGGGACTGAGGTGAGGCTGACTGGTCTGTAGTTCCCTGGATCCTCCTTTTTCTCTTTCTTAAATATGGGCACCCTGTGTGCCTCTCTTGATCACCATGAGTTTTCAAAGATGATAGCCAATGGCTCTGCAATTACATCAGCCAACTCCCTCAGCACCCTCAGGTGCATCCTAGCTGGCCCCATAGACTTGTACACATCCAGCTTCTCAAACAGTCCCTAACCTGTTCTTCTGCCACTGTTGGTTGCTCACCTCTTCCCCAAACTGTGCTGCCTGGTGCAGCAGTCTGGGATCTGACCTTGCCTATGAAGACAGAGGTGAAATAGGCATTGAGTACTTCAGCCTTTCCTGCATCGTTTATCACAAGGTTGCCTCCCCCATTCAGTAAGGGACCCACACTTTCTCTGATCCTCCTCTTGCTACTGACATACTTATAGAAACCCTTCTTGTTACCCTTCACATCCCTTGCTAGCTACAATGCCAATTGCTCTTTGGCCTTCCTGACTTCGTTCCTGTATGCCTGCAATTCCTGTATGTAAGCAATGCTCTTATATTCTTCCCTAATTATTTGTCCAAGTTTCTACTTCTTATAAGCTTTGTTTTTGTGATTTAATTTATTGAAGAGTTCCCTGCTAAGCCAACCTGGTCTTCTGCCATATTTGCTAGTGTTCCTGCACATCAGGATGGCTTGTTCCTGCACTCTCAGTACGGCTTCTTTAAGTACAGCCAGCTCTTCTGGACTCCTCTTCCCCTCAGAGTAGCCTCCCAGGGGATTGTGCCCATAAGTTTCCTTAGCATGTCAAAGTCTGCTTTTCTGAAGTCCAGAGCCCTTACTCTGCTACTCTCCATCCTTCCTTTCCTTAGTATCCTGAACTCAATCAATCAGTGCTGCCCAAGTTGCCATCCACTTCTACATTCCCCAGCAATTCTTCCTTGTTTGTGAGCAGCAGGTCAAGAAGAGTATGGCCCCTAGTTGGTTGCTTTAGCACTTTACCAGGAAGTTGACCCCAACATTCTCCAAAATTTTTCTGGATTGCCCATGCACTGCTGTATTGCTTTTCCAGCAGATGTTAAGGTAATTGAAGTCCCCCATGAGAACCAGGGCCTGTGATTTGGAAACATCTGCTAGCTGTTTGAAGAAAGCCTTATGCACCACTTCTGCCTGTTCTGGTGATTTATAGCAGACCCCCACTGTGATGAAAGGTGCCTACTTGTGGCCCTTCACCATACTGGCCTGCCACTTCATCTAGGGCAGTCTGTGCTGTTTTGCCTGCCACAACTTGTTGGGCTACCTGTTGTAATAAGCGGGAGGCTGCTCATTTAATACCTTGATGCTAAGGGGTTTACACTTGGCTCTGACCTTCCCTTACTGTGTCCCATGCCTCACAGATGGCATCATAAGTTGATTATAGCACCAGTTCAGGGCTGAGCTACAATCTTCCCCTTGGTGGGCCTCTATCATCCTCTCTTGCATCCTGCCCCCTCTCATAGGGCCTCTTTCATACTGCCTCTCACTGGGCCACTCTCAAATCCACCCTGCTCCGTAACCTTCAGGTTTTGCTATTCACTGTCTGGCTGGCCCACATGCAACTGTTCAGGGGCCACTGTGTACCCTACTCTACGCGGCCACTGTCCTTATGCCTGAGCTGAACTCAGCCACTAGCCCCTTTTT